TAATTGGGACGGAGGGAGTAATAGACATCTAAGATTTTCAAGATATACAAACAAGATTAGACACTCATCTAATAAATTAACAACACTTATTTTCTCATACCTAATTTTGGGACTATCGATGTAAAAATTAAAGCCTATAACTATATCATTGAAAAACTTTGTTAGTATTTATGATATTTATAACTATGACTTTAATGCCACAATTAATTAAGTACTATGATATTTCATTATTTTGTCAGGTACTTTGTGGTGGCCAATGCAATAGCTTGTGCCTATGCAGCCATCTGACTACTACTCACAATGGCAAATAGGGCAGGAAGGAGAGGTTTGGGAATGATAATAACAATCTTTGACCTAGTAATGGTGGCGCTCCTCTTTTCCGGTGTCGGTGCCGCCTTCGCCATTGACCTTATCGGGTTTCAAGGGAATTCACACGTGCAGCGGAAGAAAGTGTACAACGTGTTTGATAAATTCTGCGATCAAGCGGCTGCTGCAGTTGACATCTCCTTTATTGGTTCAATCTTATTCTTCTTGATGGTTTTGCTTGCTACTTTGAGCCTCCACAAGAAACGAGTGAAACTCCTACACCCTATATTCACTATTCTCTCTCTCTCTCTCTCTCTCTCACTCACACACACACACACATGATAATTCAGAACCCTAATGAGGTTTTCCTATTTATTAAATAGTCAAAACCGAAATTACAAGTGTGAAATTCTTAAATTACAAAAATCGATCTACATATTGATTCGGCACGACGAAATGCAAGCTCGAATTAATACAAATAATTCACTGGAAAAATAAATCATTATTTCAAAATGTCACAAATAAATTTACTTGAAGGGCTAAAACTAACAATTCTCCCACTAGCCCTAGAGTAAATGAGACATGTTAAGTAAGCTCATACTTTTAGTATGTCCCTCAAAACTCCTAGTAGGCAAACTGTTGGTAAAGGGATCAACAAGATTTTCTGCAGATGCTATCTTGCACACTGTTACATCTTCTCGTTGAACGATTTCCCTAACTAGTTGATATTTTTGCTCAATGTGTTTTCCGCGTTGATGGCTTCTTGGTTACAGGGGCTAAATACGTCTTTGATACATTTCAAGAAAAAAGATTAGTTACTTCTGCAAGAATACTATGCCCCTGTTTGGTAGGAATTAAAATATAGGTTTTAATCTAAATTAAAGTCAATAATTAATTTTAATCATATATTTTGGATCCTACAAAATTTTCAACCACACATTTCATCAATTTTTATTAAAATTTACTGAAAATCTAATTTTAATCCATACCGAACATGGGCTATATATGAGAGGGGTTAATTACTCTATCGAATTTGCTTCGAACCTTTCGGATGAGAGGTAGCAAAATCAGAATTGGGAGCAATTTCATAGTTTTCCCTTAGAAAACAGCAATCAAATTATATTTCAGAGGTTATTAGTTTCGCTAAAATCATCTTTGCGGTAATGTTTTTGAATTCCTCGTTGGGTTTTCTTGTTTTTCCATTTTTTTTGTATTTTGTAATCACAATACCTCCTAAGCGCTAATATTTTCTGTCCATCTTTCAATCACAAATACTAGCATACATTGTCTCCATCACATGACTGACTATACCATAAAACTCCATCAAATTGAGAGTTTATCATCTCGAGATCTCCCTGTTATCGCAATTAATTGGGTTCCACACCGTCATTCAGTTCTTTCACATACATCTAAAGGTTCATCTCGCACGTTCGCACGACTAACTCTAGAACCTGACTCTAAATTACATGTTGGGACATGAAGTTTCGTCATAGTAAGTTAATGGACTCAATAGAGTAGTTGATCCCATTTATCTTCAAACTAAACTTGAATTAATCCTTTCTTTCATCTCTCTATTTTCAGCTATCTGTGTTTAAATTTCTGCAAACAAAAATCCCACTTCAAAAAAATAATATTATCTTGGAAACTGAATATTTAATCCTTGATAAAATAAAATATACTAATATAGTGACCAATAAAGTGACAGCTAGTTAGGGTAGTCACATGAGACTTTTAGATGTGTGAATTTATGCAATAGTCCAATGGGGAAGTGACTTTTGTCAATAAATTCATATGAACAAATTTTAGGATCAAAACTTTTTGACCAAATATATGCTTCTAACTACTTCCATTACTTCATGGTTTGAATTTCTTGCATTTTATTATAATGAAAAATTTGCAATTTAAAACAAAATTTTCACCATAAAGAATTATATACTGTTATTTTTCGGTAAGATACTTACGATTTGTTATAATGATTTAAGGACCATTAAATAAAATTTCTTAATTCGTGTGAAAACAAAACTAGCCTATATAAATGGGACATAGTGGGTATTACTTATTATTTCATATTTAAGTGACGTAAAATTTTAATCTTAATTGTCACGACCTTGACAAAAATGGGCACCTACAAGAAATTACAAGATTTGGCACTTTCCCTTTCCAAAAATTATTTGGCCCATCCTACTCTCTTCTCATTCTTTAAAAAAAATTGCGACTTCATTTTCCTTTCCCACCTAATAGAGTAAAGTTTCCAGATCCTCCTTGAAATTTTGGCCAAAAACTGAAAAAGGGTTCTTCTTGCTCAAAAATAATTTGTTGGGACATAACAAACAAGTGGGGTGTCAAATGTATGTATCCCAATCAAGAAACTGTCCAAAGATGTTAAAATAGGAGTCTATACCGACCATCTTAAATTTGAATGCCTATGCAATCAATGCTTTAAAAATTAGACTATATTGTTCGATTCAATTCGAAAAATTGAGATCTAGAAAGAAAATCATGATCGTTTAATAAAATCGGAAAAAGAAAAAATCATAAAGAACTCAATCGAATGATCAGTTTAACCGAGTAGAAGATGAATCGGGCTACTATTTCTCGAATGAAAGTGTCGAATGTACGCATGTATTCATATCAAGCTAGGATCTTAGAAAGAAGTCAAATCCCCGTCCCCACGACCATAAATGTGAACGCCACATGCAATTACACTACACCAACGCATTAATTTTCATATCCTTCTTTCACACACATAAGAAAATAATTAAAAATAATATACATCTTCTCTGTCTTCCCTTATATAAGCCCCTACACTCTCCCCATTTTGTACCATCTTTAGCAAGTTTGTATTTCTTTAGTTCTTTCTGAAAAAAAGAAAAGAAAAACTCTTAGAAAGTGGAGATGGAGTCTGCATACATGTCTAGCAATGGAGAGGGTGGCGTTAATGGCGGCGAGAAACAAGTAGTGGCGGTGGCTAACAAGAGAGCAATGAGGTTACCTGATTTGGTTTTGCGGGTTTTGGCTTTGGCACTTACGCTAGCGGCGGCTGTGCTTCTCGGCGTTAATAAGCAGTCGACGGTGGTACCAATAGCTTTGGTGCCAACGCTGCCACCGATGAATGTTGAGGTCACGGCGAAGTGGGATTACTTGTCTGCCTTTGTGTGAGTATAGTCTACCCTGTGCTTCTTTAGAGCATGTTATTTGCTTATAAGTGAGTTTTTTATGATAAATGTTTTGTAGAATTAAAAATAAGTTCATGGGATTAGTATTCTAAGGTTTTTGGTATTAAATGATGGCCGAAGGTTGCAAATATGGTTTGTTTTAGATCAACATTTCACTTGTTTAGTACTACTAACTATTAATAAAGATGTTGTCAGTTCATACCTCGACCAGCACTCTTTAATATTTAGCCCTTGTTTGATGATAATTAAAAAGTTTTTTTTTTCTGTCGGGGGTTGGTTGCAAAATATTCTGTCCATGTTTGACTCTCTTTATTTCAAAACTTTATTTTTTCATAATCATTTTCAATCGCATATTCACCAATAAAATATTTTGCACGTTTATACATGCAATTTGGGTGAGTTTGGAACCATAATTCTGTTAATGATGTGGGTCCCTCCTAGGTCAACTATGGACTTTAAACTAGGTTGTCTGTGGGTGGCCTGACCACCCAATTTAGGTGAGTTTGGAACCATAATTCCGTTAATGATCTGGGTCCCTCCTAGGCCCATTTTATAAATTGTTAAACATATAAATTAAATTTTGGGATATTTTAAATTAATCTTTGATCATAATTTTGCTTAATTATGACAATGTTTGGTTGATGTGTGTGTAGGTAGATAACTCAACTTTGTCTCAAAGAAATTTCTTTATTTAACATTTATAATTTCATTCAATATGTTATCTTACGTGCATATTGAACTTCTTTATAAATATTCGACACGCGAATTTTTCATTACAATGACTACTGATATATGAATTCACGATTTTGTTTTATATATTTTTATGTCATTCTTTTAAGAGGGGGAAAAGACAAAATCCTATTACGAACTCCATTTTAACTCGACCAGAAAATTTGTAATAGACATCTAAGATTTTCAAGAAATACAAACAAGATTAGACACTCATCTAATCTAATAAATTAACAACACTTATTTTCTCATACCTAATTTTGGGACTAATGATGTAAAAATTAAAGCCTATAACTATACCATTGAAAAACTTTGCTAGTATTTATGATATTTATAACTATGACTTTAATGCCACCATTAATTAAGTACTATGATATTTCATTATTTTGTCAGGTACTTTGTGGTGGCAAATGCAATAGCTTGTGCCTATGCAGCCATCTCACTACTACTCACAATGGCAAATAGGGCAGGAAGGAGAGGTTTGGGAATGATAATAACAATCTTTGACCTAGTAATGGTGGCGCTCCTCTTTTCCGGTGTCGGTGCCGCCTTCGCCGTTGGCCTGATCGGGTTTCAAGGGAATTCACACGTGCAGTGGAAGAAAGTGTGCAATGTGTTCGATAAATTCTGCGATCAAGCGGCTGCTGCAGTTGGCATCTCCTTTATTGGTTCAATCTTATTCTTCTTGATGGTTTTGCTTGCTACTTTGAGCCTCCACAAGAAACATTAGTGAAAAATGCATTATTATGTGTTAAATGAGTTTACCAGTATGTAAAATTGTACTTTGTTTATTATGTGGGAAACTCCTACACCCTATATTCACTACTCTCTCTCTCTCTCTCTCTCTCTCTCTCACACTCTCACACACACATGATAATTCAGAACCCTAATGAGGTTTTCCCTATTTATAAAATAGTCAAAACCGAAATTACAAGTGTGAAATTCTTAAATTACAAAAATCGATCTGCGTACGATTCTGCACGACAAAAATATTTAAGGCCCACAACTTAATAATTATCACATTCCTTATTATAACTTTTTTAAACATTTATATATACATGCGTAAAATGATATATTCTTATGACTTTTACAATTATTAATGTAATTTCTTTTTCATAAAAAGTAAACAAATTTGAGGGCACTTCAAGTTTGTAAGAACCAGGATGATAGAATTGAATATTTATGAGTAAATAAACCAATTAGTAACAGATTTTAATACTAATTTCCACCGAACAAACAATGAATATCTCCAAGCAGCCACAAAACTTACATTAAAATTGAGCCCATATTTTTGAAATTGGAAATATGGAGTAATACTATTTATCATCATGAAGACAGCACATTATCCCTTACATTTCTCTCTCTTTTGAGACCACGTCTCATCAATCTCTCATAAAAATTGAACTGTCTAATCTCATTATTTCATATAAACCGCCACATCACCGATATTTTATCATTATAATGATAAATAGCATTATTCAACGTACTGTGTGCATAATAGTGTACAGCAATTCAGAGTTCAATTAGCTGAATGTTTCTCCATATTTTTGGAGAAAGAATTCCCTTAGAAAAATTTTCTAAGCCGTAAATTCATTATAGACTGTAGTTCAATGGGTGCAACTCACAGAAGATGAGCGCAACACAATAAAGAAGTCCAATAGTTGCTGTTGACATCTGTCTTTTAAGTTGGAAATAATGGAAACTGATAAAAACAAAAGGTCCCTCTTGTTTCAGGCTCAGAATCAGGCTGCAAATTAGTAAAAATGATGTTCATTGAGGAAGAACAGGAGGTGCAATTGTCCGAGTATTGTACGATTCACAATGGCTGCATTTCTGACCAATTACATGGAAGTAAACCTCGGTCGTGTCATTGCAATCGTTGCACAGAATCCAAATCTGGAAAATTTAAATGAAGTTCGGTGCATTATGTCATATTTGGTAAGTTGGATTAGACAATATTTAACTGTACTAAATAAGACGAAGAAATTAGAATATTGAAATTAAGAAGGGATGCATGAAAGTACCTTCTTATATCTGTACTCATCAGGCATGACAGTCGCTTCTATCTGTAAACATGCAACATTTTAAATACGAATCAAGTTAAAATCAACGAAGCGATTGACAATGGGAGGGAGGAAAAAGTGCTTATTCATATAGCCTTGAAAAAGTAGAAAACTTCAATTTAAAATCTCTGTGAGAAAGTGTGTGAGATGAGGGAAACGATCTACAAAGGAGTTCCCCCGTGTTTTTAGTAGAACAATGAAATTAATGAACAGACAAGGTTATCGTAGGGGAAAAAAAAGGGGGGGGGGTACTGTGACAAGCTATGAACCATAAAGCATAAATTGCAAGACAAAAAAACTACTATCGATACGCAGAGAAGCTTGAGGCGAAAGAAATGCTACAAATGTAACTGAAATCAGCTTCCCACAGTGAAATAAACAATAATTGAGAACCTACCTCTTCATCTATTCTCTTCCAGGTTACGGACATGTCGATGGTCGATTTAGAGCATATTGGGCAGCAGTACCTAAAGCCACCATCAATGCAACTTGGTAACAAAGTTGTGCACAAATTCTTTTAATCTAAAAATTGAATCTCAAAGTATATTGCAAGGTAAATTTTTTAATTACTTTTCACGCTTTATCATCTCGTGGTAACACTCGCAATGCATGGTGTGTCCACATTTCATAACGATTGTATCTTTCAAAGAGTCGAAGAGATACTGTAAATACAAAAAACCGGGCATTATTACAATCTTACTACTCAAGATTAACAGTAAAGAACTCGAAAATGGCAAAAAGGAAACCTCGTAACATATAGGACAGTGATGTCGCATGGAGTTTTCCACACATGAATGATTGTTATGCAAACTAACTGAATAACAAGAGCCTGCACAATTAAGATAAAATATAAGAAGAAATTTAAGTGCTGTAGTATTCAACTTAGAGAAGCCGTAAAATCCCCGTTAAGTTCTAAAGGCTAGTTCTATTTAGTTGATCACCAAAAATTGAAGTTCAAAATAATTATAATCCTCATAATCGGAATTAATAATGAACGTCAAAAATTAAAAGAAGAGTAAATTACTGTCTCCATTTGCCATCAGTTTTTAACAGCAGAGACAATGAATGGAATTGCACAATGAATTTTGAGATAAAGTAACGATATAGTAATGCCAAAGAGCATTTACGTACCACATTTCTTGCAATGGAAGAATTTCTCACGGCCACCAACTCTAAATAAGAAATCAGAAGTTAGATCAAATACGTCACAGAACATCATATTTGGAGCAANGAAGTTAGATCAAATACATCACAGAACATCATATTTGGAGCAATTTTGGCAAAGCTTAAAAGGTTTAATTACAAGTAAATTTTAAAATATATAATTTTTAATTTCCCTCAGAATTTGAAAATGAGTAGCTTTTTGCTTAAAAGAAGGAAAAAATAAAAAATAGTAACTTTACATATTTTTAAGCTTGGCCAAACATCAGCATGGGCAAAAGAAAAGGTGCATAAATAAGCAGTTTTATCTGTTCACTAACCTGCAGATCCCACAATCATCACAATGAAACTGTCCTTTGTCAATCTGCATCAAGCATAGAGTAGCATTGATTAAGAAAAGTGACCATAAGAAACGAAATCCAAATAACAATTCAATCGGTTCACAAACTCAAAAACAGCACAACTATCATAAACGACGAAGAAAGTCATAGGAATATTATCTTATTTACATCATCATCGTAGAATTTGCACACGTCACAAAAGTATTCTCCCATATTGACACCGCAATTCGTACAAACACGAGCAACCTGGATCACAGGGAGATCATTTTTATGAAGAAATCAAGCATCAATAGGAACAGAAAAAGGCTAATAACTCAAGTTCGAGAAAACATACAGGCTGCTCCGCATCACAAACTGAACAGATAACCTGTAAAATAAGTGAGTGTATCCATCCATGTCATCACGACTTTAAGAACAACAAAAACTTACTAATCAAATACAAATGAACAAAGGATAGAGATGCAAAAAAACTTACTTGTTTTACATCAGACCGCACCAATTCATGCCGATCAAAAATGTTTCGCAGCAAATTCTATTGATATAGACTCAAAGCAACAAAAATCAGATAAAAAGAAATCAAAGACATTGGATTAGGGCATGTTTGGTATGCAGTACTGAATTGAATTGTACACAGTGACTAGCAAAAGGTGAACTTTTTCTTCTTTAACCATGTCCTTCTACGTTATGTACTGTTCTGGCATGCCAAAAACATGTCGTAGCGTTTAAGGATTTAGTACGTTGAAAAGATCTTTTGGCAGGTAGAATAAATCCAACAAACAAAAATGGATAAACCCCTAGATCAAATAAAAGCAAGAGACGATTCCATTGGACTAGAAAAAGAGATGGCAATGAAGGTGTTTGGAGAAATACCGTGGCTTCATTGTGACAGTGGCGACAATCATAGACTTCATTACAGCAAGGAGCTCGAATCTTGCATCTTCTTCTGTAATGCTTGCATCTATAATAGTTTCAAATAATCAGAAAGCTGACAACATTATACCAAAAAACTCAGAACCATCTCAGAGGTTAAATATATGAAATTTTGTTTAAACACTTAAAGATTGAAACAGCCTGCATATATACAGAAAAGAAGAAACACCAACTAAAGAAGAAAGATACAAATTTTTCTGTACATTAGAAGATAACACAAAAAATTATAGATTTTACACGAATTTCAGCATAACATGACAAATCATTTCAAATTCTTGCATCCAAATATCCAAAAATAAACATAAAAAAGTGGAAGAAAATACCCATAACCCATCTTCCCAAAAGTAAGCCGATCGTTGGAGGGGCCTTCCATTAGCATTGGAAAAAATAATTTCCCAGAAACAAAAGGGATAAGCCTGAAAGAGGGGATAGATTTAGGGGAAGAATGGAATGTGCCCAAAAAAAAAAAAAAAGAGAGCCTATATTCAAATTGAAGATGCCATTATTGAAGTGGGACACTGACCCTCTTGTATCCGGGCAATAAATAATTCGAACAACCCCTCTCTTTATTTTATAAAATTTACTATATATAGAAATAGTTTCTTGATGGATATGCATTTTTACGAAATAGGATTATTAGCACATAGTTTATTGTGCAAAAAGTCGCAATCTTACATTTTTTTTTATATATATTTTTTTACATTTTCACACATATTTATACATTTTATTGTGAAAATCACCATTTTCATTTAATATCTAAGTAAAAAGTTATGAAATGACGAATATACTATTTTATTTAAATAAAACAAATAGAAACAAAAGAAGAATGTACTATTCAATTTAAATGAAACAAATAGAAACAAAAGAAAAATAAAGAATTAATTGCAACCATACTCTCAATTTTTTTAAAAATATGCAAAAGTCCCAAATAAATTATAAAAATTCAAAAACAAGAAAAAAAATTAAAAAAAAAAAATCATCATCTTCTCCTCACCCAACCCCCATCCTTACCTTCAAACCGCAAATCAAAGCATAAATCACAACCACCTACCACCGCAAAACCCAACAATCGTCGTTCATATGAGTTTTGTGTGCAAAAAATAAAATTAACACGTTGTTTAAGTAGGATTTTGCAAACCATTATGAGAATATTGGATTGCATATAGTGGCCTAAAAATGCAAATTTTCATGTGAAATTGGAGCGAAATGTGTAGTTGTGATTCTGATTTCCCTTAACAATTCTTGGATTTTCATAAATCATTCTTCTTGACTGAGAATCAATTTGGGGTAAAAAGGAATTGGAGACTCGATAAGAATGTTCAAGATCCCCACCCATGCAAGTGAGCAGAAAAGTTGGGTGGAGAACATACTATTATTTACGTGGTAGGTGGTGGCGATTTTTGCTTTGGTTTGGAGTTTGATGGTAAGAATGGGGTTGGGATGGGGACGAAGAAGAAGACGATTTTCTTTTAAAATTTTTTTCTTGTTTTTGATCTTTCATAATTTGTTTGGAATTCATTTGTATATTGTTTAAAAATTTGAAAATATGCTTGCAATTAATTCTTTATTTTTCTTTTGTTTTTTTTATATTTTATTTAAATAGAATCATTTCATAATTTTTATTTAAAATTTGAATGAAAATAATGATTTATGCAATGAAATGTGTAAATATGAGTGAAAATGAAAAAAATGCAACGTTGGAAAGTTTTGCACGGGACGTTGCGTGCTTGATAACCCATTCGGATAGCGTGAACGTGGGTATGGAATGGGTGACAAAGGAGACAAGGCGCCGAGGAAATGGGCCAATAAGATTACAAAGCGTGAAAGCAATTTCGCAGAAAATAAAGTTGTCTATACTGACAGTTGAAGAGGGGGAATCTATGGCGGTTATTTTAGGTTTGCGGATCACTAGATTGTGATCCAAGTGATGTCACGTGGGACGCTTCCGTTCACGTGGCAGCAGGTGATTTTATAGATAAGTTCTAAACGTGTAGTTTATACTGAAATTATTTTTCATTGCAGATGATCCACTTTAAAAAAAGCCATAGATTATTTGTGTCACGTTAAAATTTCGCGAGCGTACGAGTTCGTTGTATAAATAATAATCGTGATGATTAATACAATCCATGCAATTGTTACGAATCGTTAATTTCACTTTTATTTACTATTATTTTTCAAGATATAATAAACCTATAGTTATGTCGAGAAGATTATATTCCTAGTTCGCATTCATATGACAAACATGCATTGACGTTAAGGATTATTGTACATGCTCGCACACGCCATAAATAATATTCCTAATATTTATTAACCGTGAGNATTATTCACGTATTCTATAAATAGTGTTCTATCTACCGTGAGTTTTTTAACACTACGAATAAGTAACTTGTTGCTCTAATGATGCGCAAGCATTAAAATAATATGATTATGTATGTTTATGGAATCACAATACAAGAATTAAATTAAAAATAACAAGTTTTGAATTAGAAACTAAAAATCAAAGAGTCTCGTCATCCAACCAATACACTTGAATTTAGCCTAGCATATTAATGTAAAAATTACGTAGAATATAAAAGGAAACCATCACCAAAATAACAGAAATATGAAAAAAATCTGGAAATCTTCACTTCAAGCTTTCAAATTCGGACCCAAATGATGAATTTTTCATTCTTCAATGTAAATTATCTCTCCTTTTCTGCTCAAAATGCAGCTCCCTCCTCAAAAACACGAAATTTTCCCTTATAATATGTCAAAAAGTTGCCATAAATTATTACCAAAACAAAATAAGGAAATTAAAAATTCTTTCCGTTTAACCTTGAGGCATGCACTTGTGTAACCTAGAGGCACGCCTGAGGGGTTTAGGCAGCCTCACAGGCGAAGGCGGCGCACCTTGGTGCTGTTCGTGGGCCAAATTACAGTTTGGCCCCAGAACTTTTCCCAAGCTTTTTTTCTTCCTTCTTCAATTCTCTTCAATTATTTCGCTTCTCTTCTTGTCCAGTTAGATCGTTGCATTCTCGACTTTTCGTTTCTCGCTCCACGCTAACTTTCAATTATTTTCATTTTAATCCTCAGCTTCTCTTTTTGCTTCAATTAACCCTTCATCGATGAAAACCTAAAACATACAATAAACAACAAATTCAGCCATATTTACATCCAAATATTAACAAATATCTATGTTTTGACGATCTAAATAAGTGTATGAAGTGCACTTATCAATTTGCTTTTTCATTTGATAGATTTATAATTTGTTTATAAAGATAAATAGTAAGAGAAATTATAGTGAATCTTACAAATATATGAATAATAATAAATAGAGTTATAAATATGCAATTATTTAATTTATCAATCATTACTTTCCAAAGGAAGACTAACATAAGCCACCCCGAACATACTTTGAATCATCCAAGTCACCACACTTCGAACGTCATGCGAGACCATCTACCGGCCAACTCTGTTACTCTGACACTAGACAACACAGGGGAACAAATGTATATTTGAAAAGGTAAATTATGCCCTAGCTTATCCTTCATTTCTTAAATTTTTTTTTTCTCATATTCATTTTCAATCACACATTCTATGAGACTCACAACCTTCATTTATTTTTTATTATAGATTTCGCCAATTTTTATCAAAATCTACTAAAAATCTAATTTTTATACAAACTAAATGCATTCCAAGCAACGCACTTTTTCCCGTGAAGGTCTGAAAAGTTTGCAACAAAAAACAAAACAATAACAAAATTCAACTCAAGACCCTCTATCTTACCATCTGTACCTTTTATTTTATTCTTGCAAGTTACTCAATCCGCCGATGACTTATATTCTCTTAGATTTTGTTCGAATATAAATCCTTCTAGGATAATGGACAAGAGAACCAAAAGAAGTAGCAAACACTGAAGAATGACTCGAACGAGTAATCGTTGTCCTCAAACTAAATTTGTCCCCTCTAAAATTGATTTTGATGCTTAAAAGAACTCACGACAAACGTTTGTAGGATTTAACAAATCTTAAAAGAAAATAAACATTAAGCACTTGTGTTTTCTCTTTAGAACATGAAGAACGCTTGAATGAATGAATATGTATAGAAAGCTTCGTAAAATATTCCTTTTATGTGGAATGATCTCATGAATTGATGAATTCATGGTGTTTTAGAATGAAATTTATCTCCTATATATGGATTATCATTTATGCATCACGAAAAGGTTTCAAAAGTTCATGAAAAGATAAATTTTCAAGAAAATGCGCTAAAAAATGGACCAAAATTTCAAATCCAACGATAAAAAAAAAATTTGTATGGGCACAGTACAAAATCGAGCTCTCTCCCAAGCCAAAGTTTTGGCCTCGAGTAAACAAAATCAAGGCCAAGCAAGTGCCCGACCTTAAGCTTGGGCACTTGTTTGGGCAAAAATTTCAGCCGCTCCGTTTTTTTCTTCTCGTTGTACTTTCGATATTTTCATACTTACTCTACACACTCATATGTATGTATTATCATTCCAATATACTTATCATTATAAGTTTGAATAATAAATTACAACAGATTTTTTTTTTTTTTTTATCAAAGTGCCAATATTTTATGGCATATTTCTTTTAATGATTGAAATTTGAAATAGAAAATTTAAATAGTCAGAAAACATTCACCATTTACTATATATTGCAGACAAGATGTCTAAAAAGCAAACCGATTACCATTCGATTGAAATAATTATGTTGACGATGAAATTATTAGTAATCTTTTTGAACATGAAAATTGAAATCCTAAAAAATAGATCATCATAAATCTAATTGACCACCAATGAAGAGAGGGGTAGGCTACATAAGAAACTTTAATGCCTTCTACCTTCTCTATATGGAGACAAAAATGTTACTAGGTCAATCACGGGACATTTATCTTATCACCACAAACAGCTATCCTATTCACTGTTTGCCACTCTTATCTCGAAACTTTAAAAGATCTCATCCTTTGTTAGGTAAAGATACTATGTCAACTAGTTGGCGAGTACATATAATGTTCAATGATAATTCTTCTAAGCTTGGTACAATGCTCGACATTAGTTTTGTTAGTTTATTAAAATTATTTTACTTTGATTGACATTCTCTAAAAGGTTTAGATAACGTATATATCACAACTCAAAACAACTCATTCATAATAGAATGGAGAGTCAATACCGAATAGATGAAGTATAAGCCAAAACAACTTATCTATTCATTAGTATTTTGGTGAATATTTTGTGACATGTTGGTACCATTAAATGGATAAAGTATGAGTAGTCCTGAAGAGTGTGTGATGTCAAGAGATATGGAGATGGAGGGAGGGATGAGGTTTCTCGAATGCTGCTCATTTCCCAAAGTTTTAGGTCATGTCACCATCCACTTG